TACGGTACGTGCATGTCCATGGTCTTCTGTCTGGGAGAGGCTGCAGACAGAAGCTTCGCCGGGCGGAGCTCACAGGCCCAGCATGCGTCGCCGAGCCAGGAGGCGTGGAGCCCCGTTCCAGCTCCCCCTGCGTCGTCACTGGCAACGTATTCAGGGAGCAAACGTAAATCTCTGGTTAGGTGTGGGTTTTTAAAAGTAAAATGTATATTATTGACTTTGTAGGCATCTTGCACAATTCTCTTGTGTAAATTATTTCTAGCTCTTACTCCAATTGGTCCACTGCTGTTAAAGTCGGTTTATATCACCATAGTGCCATCCATCCTGTGGCTCCTTGGGGGTGTGCACTGTGCATTTATTTATTTTTTTTTACAAAAGATCTTATTTCAACTAATGGAGTTTATGGATTCAAAAGGCTTCCATAGCCTAGGCAGCCCATGTCAAGAGCCTCGGGTGATCACTGACGTCACACATAAGAGTGTTAATTGTTAAATCAGCACCAGGAGGCACTGTGCACTGACTTCCCATGCAGGACCGCTGTCCTCAAGGAGTTGTAATACAGCTATGTCTAAGTGCTTCCAAAAGATGCATCATTCTTGGGTGCCTCGTTAAAGTTAATTAAGCTTCTAAAAAAAAGAAAAGTGAAATTAACTTCAAGATGACTTTCAACAGCCCTTGTCCTGACTGTTGAGGGATAGTTTTTGTTTTGCTTTTTGTCTTTTTTACCGTGCAAATTGTTGGACTCTTTACTTAGTATAGAGTTGGTCTTCTGTGTATAAAGTTAGTAAAAAAATGGATCTTAGTGGAGAATGGGACTGGGAATGGGAGAGGGAGGAGGAGGTGGGATGAGAGTGTGGGTGGGAGGGTGGGTATGGTGGGAAGAATCACTGCATTCCTAAAGTTGTACTTATTAAATGCATGAAGTCTGTATTCCTTAAATAAAAGATTCCTTTGGGGGAAAATAAATTTTTTAAAAAAATCTTATTTGAAAGGCAGAGTTACAGAGAGAAAGGGAGGGACAGAGAGGGGGTTAGAGAGAGAGAGAGAAACCTTACAACTGTGGGTTCATTTCCCAAATGGCCACAGTGTCCAGAGCTGGGCCAGGCCGAAGCCAGGAGCCTGGAACTTCATCTGGGTCTCCCACATGGGTGGCAGGGACCCAAGCACTCAGCCATCTCCGGCTGTTTTCCCAGGCAGGTTAGCAGGGAGCGGGATTGGAAGTGGAGTAGCCGGGACTTGAACTGGCGCTTATATGGCCCTCAGAGACTTCTGGGGCTGTGGCAGGACCAACTGCTAGGCGTTTAAGCAGGGGAGGGCTTCAGCAGACTGGAGCAGAACCGGTCGCCTCTCGTGCCGCTGTGCCCACAGTGTCCAGAACACAGAGCACCTACAAGTCCCAGTTTTCCTCCACGCTAGCCCAGCAAGAGCCTCCGCTGACACCAGGCCTCTGGTCCCCCGGGGTCCAGAGTGGATGTTCAGATCCTGTGCTGGTTTCCTGCAGACGCTTGGTGATTTCCCAAGCCACCGCAGAGAATGGGGGCTTTGTGCTGGGGAGGTGCCCCACACCGTGGACATCTTGAGGTTGTGATGGGAGTGTGTGTTTGCGCCCTGCCCCCGGGCATCCCGAAGACCGTGGTCAGTCACACTTGACCTTCGTCATCAGCCCTGCTTTCTCATTTAAGAGATTCCCATGGTCTTTATTTTCCCAGCTCAGTCCTGACAAGAGAAAAGAGGAAGCAACCCGAGGACATCTCAAAATGAGACTGAGTGACAGCGCAGTAGGAAGTCCATCCACTCCGAATTTTTATTGTGCTCGGAGAAGTCGCATGTGGGGGAGTTGTGGATGGACCCGAAATTTGTGTGAAGTCGTTTTCAACAAATCAGGTTTCTCAAGGCTAACCAATGGCTTTGAGAGCCGCACTGCTCTTCCGTGGGGGTGGGAGTGGGAGTGTGCTATGTGGGAAGAAGTCCCCATTCACGTTGGGCTGAGGCCGTGGGAGAGCAGAGGGATTTTGCTGGCACTGCCGGGCTGCAGCTGGAATATACCGTCCAGCTGTGTTCCTGCTCCAAGAAGAAACGCAGCTGGGCTGCAGGTGGGCTGTCGAAAGCTCCCGTGCTGGGGCCGCTGTTGTGGTGCAGCGGGTGGAGCCATGGCTGGAGACTGCAGCGTCCCGTATCGGAGTGCTGGCTGCTCTGCTTCCGGCTTCCTTCCAGTGCACCTGGGAGGCAGCAGCAGGTGTCCCAGGTACTGCCACCCATGTGGGATACCAGCATGCAAGTCCTGGCTCCCGGCTTCAGCCTGGCCCAGGCCTGGCTATTGTGGCCATTTGGGGAGTGAACCAGCGGATAGATCTGTCTCTCTGTCTCTCCCTCTCTCTGTCTCCCTCTTTTACTCTGCCTTTCAAATAAATAAAAATCCTAAAACAAAAAACAAAAAGCAACAACAACTTCCCACCCAGTAAATGACATCCTAATAGGGGTCTTGCCGTTGCCAATGAGGAGTGCCACGGGAAGAGCCAAGTTCATCTGTGTGTGCAGGGTGCCCCTAGCAACCTGGGCACTTCTCTGCTGCCAGCTGTGGGCACAGGCGCCGGCAGGTGGTGGCAGGTGCACCTCTCAATCTCTAAGGAACCTGTTTAGGAGATAGTCTGACTTTGTGTCTGGGGATTGGTTTGCATTTTTCTTTTAAACACGTGTGAAGGATTATACAAAATTCGGGAAGAAATACACCAATCTGGAAATACAGACAGTTGGGGGAAAGAGTTTTTAAATACCAATGCTATTATAACAATCATTGTAGCTTTTCAGTCTGGATATTTATAATGTATCTGCTTAATGGTTGAGCTTTATAAAACTTTGGAGAAACGAGTGAATGAACGGACAATACGTTCCTGATACAAAGGGGTGCTGCTGTGGTGTGGGTTACCCTTGTCCACAACAACACAGATGGGTTTCGGGCACGCTGTTGAATCAGAGAAGCCACACACCAGGGAGCGTAGGCTGTACCAGGGTCGGCAAACGGGCCTTAGACGCAGCAGCTGGCCCCTGCACGTTCCTCTGTGGCCTGGGAGCTAAGAATGCCGTCTGCATTTCTGAGTGGCTGGGGGGTTTGAAATCTCTCGCTCTGTAGAGATGCTGTGAATTTAAGGTTTGAGGGCCACCCGGTGTTGGAGTTTTCCTGGCACACGGCCGTTCGCCTGTGCCCTCTGCTGCCAGGGCAGAGGGGAACAGTGACAGCGGTGCTGGGCCCTGCACGGGAATGGCGTGGTCGCCTCTGGACCGTGCCAGTCCATTCACGGGAACTGCTGGGGGTGCAGGGAACAGCTGAGCGGGGGAGGGCTGGGTTGTAAAGGGCACGAGGGAACGGGGCTGGGCGAGGGCACGTTTTCTGTTTTGACTGTGTGGGTTACGTGGATGCCCACATTGGTCAAAACCCTTAAAGCTGCATTTTACATGAGGGCTACTTATGTTTGTAACTCATCCTTCCATCAAGTTGTGGGGCGGCGGGATGGAGCCCAGATAATTCCCCCATGCTGACTCAGTGTGGCAGATTCCGAATGCACCCCGCGTCATCCCGATCTATAAACGTCTTCTGTGATTGTGATGTTGAAGGTGAAAATAATGGTTTGAATGATTTAATTTTATTTGAAAGGCAGAGAAAGAGAACCATCTACTGTGTCGCTTACCCCAATGCCTGCAACGGCCAGAGCTGGGCCAGGCCAAAGCAGGGGCCTGGAATTCAGACCGGGTCTCCCACATGGGTGGCAGAGACCCAGGTACCCAAGTTGTCACCTGCTGCCTCCCAGGGTGTGCATTAGCAGGAAGCTGGACTCCAGGCAGAGGAGCCGGGGCTCATACCAGGCACTGTCATGTAAGATGTGTCAGACATGTGCCCCTGAAGGTATTTTCTCAAGGGGTCTTTGCAGATTTGTGGAAAATGTGAATTAGGAAAAACGTATGCATGGATTTAAAAGAAAATGCGCCAAAATAAACTTATCTTTGAATTCCCTTTTCCACGAACTATTTGGAGTACACTCGTATGTTCCTTCCTGGGCCAGTTCTGCTTGAAGGAAGTCTGTCACCTCGGTCAGGGTGACGCTGTCAAAGTCGGCTCCCCAAATGCCGCTGTGCAGCTGTCCCGCACGACACTTGAGGGCTACAGCCCGGTTTTTCTTTTGGTGAAGAGCAGTCAGGAGCAGCACCAACCCTGGCTGTTGAGCCCCTCGGAGCAGGTGCACCCCTGCGCAGTCACCTTGCGCCCAGCCTGCCCGCTCACCTCCTGGGTCTAGGTCTCAGCTGCGTATCCCCGGTCCTGCGGTTGAACCCCACTGCCTGCCGTCAGCATCAGAGAGAACCCCACCTTCTAGAGAGCGGCTTCTCCATCCCCACCCAGCCAGGGTCCCCTTCTTTCCAGTATCCCGGTCCTCACCTGTCCTCACTGGCTCACTGGGGACCGTGGTGTAGCATTGTTAAGCCTAAGTGACTGCACTCCCGCGGCAGGAACTCGGTGGTCCCTGTCACCACTGCCCTTGTTACTTTGCACCGCGGGCTGGTCCTGCCTCACGCTGCCTGTGTCTTTAAAACCAGCCTGGGCCGGTGCCGCGGCTCACTAGGCTAATCCTCTGTCTTGCGGCGCCGGCACACCAGGTTCTAGTCCCGGTCGGGGTGCCGGATTCTGTCCCGGTTGCCCCTCTTCCAGGCCAGCTCTCTGCTGTGGCCAGGGAGTGCAGTGGAGGATGGCCCAGGTGCTTGTGCCCTGCACCCCATGGGAGACCAGGAGAAGTACCTGGCTCCTGCCTTTGGATCAGCGCGGTGTGGCGGCCATTGAAGGGTGAACCAATGGCAAAGGAAGACCTTTCTCTCTGTCTCTCTCTCTCACTGTCCACTCTGCCTGTCAAAAAAAAAAAAAAACAAAAAACCTGCAGATTTACTAAAGCACTGTCTTTCTTGGGTTTTCCAAGTTGTTTTTTTTTTTTTTTAATATTTATTGATTTATTTGAAAGGCAAAGGGAGAGACAGAGAGATCGTCTACCTGCTGATTCACTCTCCAAATGTCTGCAAGAGCCACGGCTGGGCCAGGCTTCAGCCAGGAGCTGAGTGCCCCAAGAGGGCTCCCTCGACAGGTGAGATTTTAAAGTGCAAGGGGCTGGTGGCTGAGTGGTTTGCAGGAAGGTGAATTTTATTATTGCCTTGGTAGCTCTCTGGACAAGCACAGCACAGTGCCGAGCGATGCTGGCCTTTCCCCTAACGAATTTGACCGTGAATCTTGCTTTCCGTGGAATGTTTCTGAAAACGTGGTTTGAAGCCCGTGATCCTGGAAGCAGTGGCTTATGATGTCAGATGCTAATTCCTCAATGAACTGGGACTCTGGAGTTGACGACTTGTACTTTACTCCTTTTAAAAGAGCCAAATGTTTCTCACTTTTTTTTTTTTTCTGAACTAGATCTATTTTGAGAAACTCTTACCATTCGTAATATAACTAGACAGCTCTGGGAAGTTACAGGACGTTACTGAAATCCAGCATTTAGCTCAGTGCCTCCGTGCACCGCTGCGCTCGCCACGGCCCTTCCACCGGGCAAGCCGATGACTGCGGCCGGCCGTCGTCTTGTGAAAGGACGCCTGTGCCGTCTCAGAGGCTTCCGGGTGCCCAGGCTTTGCACGGAGCCTGAGCCTGGACGGACGGCAGTGTTCCCAGGGTGGCTTAGAAGGGTTGAAGGAGGCCTGCCTTGGTGAGGGGTCTGTGCTGATTGTGCGAGACGGCTGGAGCGTGCCGTCCAGCCTTGACCCCGCAGGGAAGCTGGGTGCAGAGGCGCCTTCCCGCTTGTCTTTAGATGGTTGGAGCGTGGTGTCCAGCCTTGACCCCGCGCCCGCGTCGGCTGAGCGCACAGGGAAGCTGGGTGCAGATGCGCCTTCCCGCTTGTTTTTAGATGTTTTCCCCGCAGGACAGCAGCGATTCCAGGTGAGGTTCGAGAATTGTTGGACGGGAGTGATGTTGGGGTGAGGGGGACGCAGGCGTACAGACTTGCGTTGAAAGCTGCATTTTTTCAGTAAAGCTTTTAGAACTTGGTTATGCGTCAGGAGAACTCCTGTTGGCTAAATTTCCATTTTCTTTCCCCCAAGTCATGGACTGTATGAATGTTAGGATTTTTTTTTTAACATGTAAAACGTTCTCTGTTTATAAATATTTCAGGGCCCCGTGCTCAGATCAAATCCTTAACTGTGAGTCCAGATTTAAAAGTCCGTCTGCCAGTGTGATAAAGCATTTTCCCATGATAAGAAGATGCCTTTGTATATAATTATTCCTGAAAATGTAGGGCAAGCCAGTGTTTGAGAATTGAACACTAGACTTACACATTTTTTAAAAAGATTTTTTAAAAATATTTATTAATTTATTGGAAAATGAGAGTTACACAGAGAGAGAAGGAGAGGCAGAGAGAGAAAGAAAGAGAGAGAGAGAGGAGAGAGAGAGAGGTCTTCCATCCACTGGTTCACTCCCCAAATGGCTGCAATGGCCAGAGCTGGGCAGATCCAAAGCCAGGAGCCAGGAGCTTCTTCCAGGAGGGGCAGGGGCCCAAGTACTTGTGCCATCTTCCTCTGCTTTCCCAGGCACATTAGCAAGGAACTGAATCAAAAGTGGAGCAGCCAGGACTCAAACTGGCGCTCCTACGGAATGGCAGCTTTGCAAGCTGCAGCTTACCCTGCCGCTCCACAGTGCCGGCTCCTAGACTTACATGTCACTTTAGAGGACCTGAATGTTGGGAAATGGATTGGGATTGGAATCTCTTAAGTATGTAACCCTCCGGGGTTTATGCACCCACAGACAGGCAGCAGAGGGGGAGAGCAGAGGGCAGCTGGCGCCAGCCGGTCACTCACAGGCGCTGAGACCTGTCCGAGCATCTCCTGTGCCTTCCCCCGGGTGACAGCAGTGGCCCCAAGGCCGTACAAGGATTGAGCTTGTTGGTACATGGGGAAGGGCTCAGGGCGCTGGCTGCTCCCACGAGACCGCTTGGTAAATGTTAGTTTATTTCTTTATGCAGGTGCTTAACGCAGATTAAACAGTGAGTATGGACAGTTGGGATTGCTTTCCAAAAGTAAATTCTGCGCGTTGGCCTTGCTCCATCTTGCTGGGGATGGAAGATAAACGTGTGTGTTACAGCTGAGTGAATGCTGAGAAGGGGAAAGGAGAGGGCCGTGTTTGGGTTTTATTTTTCGTTCGTGCCGTCTGTGGGCAAGTGAATCGGCCTCACTTTTATGAAGGACAGTTGAACAATAGCCTTCATAATGGAAAACACAGGTTTTTTTTTTAAGATTTATTTATTTATTTGAAAGTCAGAGTTACACAGAGAGAGGAGAGGCAGAGAGAGAGAAAGAGAGAGGGAGGAAGGGAGAGAGAGGTCTTCCATCCGCTGGTTCACTCCCCAATTGGCCGCAACGGCTGGAGCTGTGCCGATCTGAAGCCAGAAGCCAGGAGCTTCTTCCAGGTCTCCCACGCTGGTGCAGGGGCCCAAGGACTTGGGCCATCGTCTACTGCTTTCCCAGGCAACAGCAGAGAGCTGGATCGGAAGTGGAGCAGCTAGGTCTTGAACCGGTGCTCATATGGGATGCCGGCGCTGCAGGCAGAGGATTAACCTACTGTGCCACTGCACCAGCCCCGCCATTCACTCTTGAAAGACCTCCTGTATGTGTGGATTTTTAAAAAATTTGTAGTAAAATCAGATGTCTCCTTTGATTTCCTTGTCCGTGAACTTTTTGAAGGACCTGGTGACACCATGGGACGTGCGCCAGGTGGTGCTGTGTGACAGTGTTTGTAGCTCAGCAGACTGGAAACAAAAGTCCCCCCCACACACACACACACGCACAGGGAGCTGGGGGAGGCGCTGCCTGCCCCGGACGGTGCAGCAGCTTCAGAAGCAGTGAGGAGGCTCCTAGACAAGACTTCGTTAGTTCCTGCGTGAAGTCAGGAAGGCAAGGAGTGGGCAAGTGGGGGCTCAGGCTGGATTTTGGAAAGATACAAGGAACTGGAACTGTGTCTCGGATGGTTCTTGCGTTTCCTACGTATGAGGTTGGTTTGTCTTTGGTGAAGGGTGGTGATTTTCACCCTGGGGACATGCGGTTAGCCATACTGTACCCCTAGCTGCAGCAGCTCCGCTTTCCCGTGCTCCACTCAGTGTAATAGACCAGCGAGGGCAAAGCCACAGAAGGCTGTCGCTCCCCCTCTTCGTGGAGGAACGACACAGGACCCTGCGCTGTTCTTTTCTCTGCTCGGCCCTCCCCGGGTTTGCTGCTGGTTCTTCCCGGGTTGGCTACCGACCCTTCCACCTCCGTGGAAGGGCGGTTCCCCCTGCCATTTCCCCACTTCCACGGGGGAGCGGCACACCGCCGGCCGGCTCTCTCGGGGGCTGCACAGGTGTTCCTTCAGATAGATGTTCCTGGTGCATGTTGTCTCTCTCCTCCTTTATAGTCCTCTTCCACCAATCCCAACTCTGCTACCCACACGCCGAGTACACTGCTCTCCTCCAATCAGGAGCAAGATCAGCTCCTGCAGCTCAGTCAATCAAATTGGCGAGAGGCAGCTGTGTAGAAGCTGTTTACTCCTCTCCCAGCGCCATATTGTGGGAGAGCAGATGCATAGAATAAGTCTTAATTCGAGTAACTTAGTCTAGTCTGAGTTGCTCCCCACAGAAGGCTGACCCCGTGGCGAGCCGGTGTGGCTGGGAAGGCGTGCAGAGGTCAGGAGCCGTTGGGGGGCGTGCTGGTTTGGCATTTAGGGGTCGCTCGGTAGCATGCAAGCGCGGACCCTGCGTGTTTCCTCATGCAGGCATGCTGTCTTAGGAAGCTTTGGGGAGAAAGTGCGCCAGCAGAAACTTCTTTGAAGCCCAGTGATCTTTTTTTTTCTCTATCTAAAAATTTAAATTGAACCCAAAGTGGGCCACCCAGCCCCTTGGCAAGCTTGCCTTGTGTGCTGAAATAGGATTTCATTAGGAGCAATGGAACATATGCCCAGGGTGGTGGCGTGGCACAGTGGGTTAAGCTGCTGCTTGTGTTGCTGACACCCGTATCAGTGCCAGTTCAAGTCCTGGCTGCTCTGCTTCCGTTCCAGCTCCCTGCCAATGTGCCCAGGAAAGCAGGGAAGGTGGCCCAGGTCCTTGTGGGGAACCGGATGACATTCCAGGCTCCCGGCTTCAGCTCTGCCCAGCCCTGGCCATTGTGGCCTTTTGAGAATTGAACCAACAGATGGAAGATCTTGATAGCCCTCCCTCCCTCCACCCTCTCACCCTGCCTTACCAATAAATAAGTGTTAAAAAAAAAAAAGTGCCCATCCAGAAACTCTGTACGCATGCGCATAGCAGCATTATTCATGCTAGCCAAGCGTAGAACCGCCTCACGGTTAAGATGCTGCATCCTGTATTGGAGTGCTTGGGTTCAATACCCGCCCCTGGCTTCTGACCCCAGCTTCCTGCTAGTGCAGACCGTGGGAGGCAGCAGTGATGGCTCGGTGACCGGGTCACCGCCGTCCCCAGGACAGACCTAGGCTGAGGTCCTGGCTCCTGGCTTCAGCCTGACCCAGGCCTGGCTGTTGCGGCATTTGGGGGGTGAACCAGAGGATGGGAACCCTGTCCATCTCTTTCTCTTACTCTGTCTGCCTCTCCAACGGAAGAACTGTAATACACGGCATGACGTGCAGGGACTCTCACAGTACCATGCTGAATTAAAGAAGCCAGCCACGCAAGGTGACACATCGCGTGATTCCGTTTATATGGAATGTCCAGAATAAGACTGATGCTGACCATGGTTGTGACAGGAGCGGGGGCTCGACCTCTGTGTGGCAAGGGTTCCTTTAGGGTGGTGGGAAACTTCTGAAATTGGGCGATGGTAGCACAACTCTGTGAGTCTGCTAAAAGCCATTTGTTTTTGTAAACTTTAAATGACCCAAACTCCAGCATGCAAAATAGATCTCACTAAAGCTGCTATTAAAAAAAATAGGAATTGATTTACGTAAGGTGCTTCAGGATATGCCCAGGTGTCTTCGCTGTTCTTTGTGCTCTTGCTGGACTGGGGGAGTGTACTCCACCGGGGTAAAGTTGGGGGCAGGGAGCCCTGGCTGCCTTTATCTTTCAAATCC